CTGTGGCAAGACTTCAGATTTCAGTTATTATGTCTGCTATTATGCAGGGCAATTATGTCTGCAAAATAGCCCGTTCTGTCTGCTACTTTGCAGACAGAAATGTCAATCTCTAGATTTAAAAAGCAGGTGGAGAAATTCCCCAGAATATTTGAAGTTTAAAACAGGAAAACTAAAAGTATTTTCTCCGGGCACTAAATACGATTACATGGTACAGTTAAAATAAAAGTGTATTTTTAAAATACACTTTTATTTAAGAAAAAAAATTGAAAACATATTTTTGAGCTATATAAAATTCCAATGAAATAAAATGAGGTTAGTGGTTGCAACGTTACAAAATGTGGAAAATTTCAGTGGCTGTGAAAACTCCTGCAGAGGAATGTGGGGGAGATTTGATCATAAAAGCTTCCAAATACAGTTTGTGACTTTTTGAAGATGAATGACTGTGGACTGATGGAAGACAACATAGAGGGCGCTCTCACCTCCATGCTGTACTTGTTCATATGTGCAACGCGACGACAGTACAGGTACAGCATGCCGATGCTGCTGCCCACCGCCAGGAAGTCTGAGCTGCTGTCCAGAGCTGTCAGGTAGACCAGCACAGACCTGAAGCCCCGCTGCACCTACACACACACACACACACACACACACACACACAGGAGCATTCATAAAAAAACAACAAAAAAACACACCGATTACACCCAACCAGTCACCTTTGTAACTGATGAAATTGAATTTGTTGATTTCCAGAATAATGACAGAGTGATGTTTTCGGGAACTGTTTAAACTTTTATCAGTTTACATACTAAGGAAAAATTATTTTACCTTTGAATAAAATAATAAAACAGTACCTTTGAATTTGGACTTCAAAACTTTGCACTTCACAAAGTATTAAAGCTGAGCACCGTCGTATCATCACGCAACTTTTAAATGTATTTTAAAGAGGATGCCGTCTGAAACCTGCTAAAAATTGTATTTTACCCTTTGCTCTTGTCTCTGTAATGTTTTTACTGTTTCATGATTTCAAAAGTGTTGCTAATGTTTGCTGTTTACTGTAAAATGTGCTGCTGGATCTCATGTGTTCTTCTCCCCCTCCCAGGTTGTTATTGCAAATAAAAAATTGTTCTTATCTCACCTGGTGAAATAAAGTTTTTTTTTGTGGTTGTTTTTTTTTTTTAAATCAATCAAATTTGGGAAAGTCCAGATTATAAAGTATTTTTGAATTTGAATTTGAACCTGAGTTCAGTTGTGAACACATTTTAAGGCTTCATGTAAAAAACTGTAGAGGAATTGAGCAGATGTTCAGCCACGACACTGATGCCCTGCTTTAGCAACTGTGAGTTTTGGGTCGGTACCTTGGCAGGGATGGCATTCAGCAGGTAGTACAGCGGACAGAACTCCCTCAGGATGGAAGCTGAGGCTGGCTGCGTTGTCATGGTTCTCCCTGGGGATGACTCAGCAGCTCCTGGTAATCATTTCAGACCTAAACACAAAAACCTGGATGTTATTGATGCAGTATACAGTACTTACACACCAAAACATAAAGTGTGCTTAAGAAGTTTTTTTCTTCAATAAAATTTATTACTGGTCAAATCAGGCTCTGAGGAACATGGGACCACGTTAGCAGTTGAGATTTTACAAAGCATAAAATAAAAACCAATAACCAAACTCTGAATTGTCTCATTCATCCAAGAAGTCCTCATAGTGTTTCACAGATGGATTCAATTCATTTTCCCTTAAAGGGGCAGCATTATGTAAAATTAACTTTTTTGAGCTTTACATCATGTTATATATTATTCCCTCATAAAAAGCAAACCTAGAATGTCACCTTGAATCTTTTACGCATGTTTGAGAAATCCTCAAGTCTTACATGGCAACCATTCAGCTGTGCAAAATGGGTGTTGTTAAAGGGTTAGTGGAGGAACCATGTTGTGATGACTTCCTGAAGGCAGGGTGTCAGAAAGAGCAGGAGTTTCTTAAAGAGACAGAGGCCCAATTTCAAGGCGTTAAATTACAACGTCAAATTTCTTTTAAATTACATATGATATACATTTCTTTAACTGAAGGTAGCATTGTTACTTGATTGTGTTATAATATGGCACTATGTGCCTCGAAAACAAATAATACTGCTGCTTAAGAAAACTCAACACAATGCCCTATAATCATAAAATAAAATTAACTGACATGTAAATCACAGCCTTTATTTAACAATTAATCCACCTTTGGCAGCAATTACAGACTCAAGTCTTGTTGAATGTGATGCCCAGCCATCTTTGGACAGTTCCATGCAGGCCTCTCTGCAGAATCTGTCAGTTCTCTCAGTTTGGGAAACGTTGGTGGCCAAACTGTCGCCTGATCTCTCCACGGATGTTCAGTCTCTGCCTGGACCGCTCCAGGACAGCCACATGGTGTCCTGAAGGGTCGTTCAGAGAGACACTGAGGCAGGTCAGATCTGTTTGTTGGGTGTGTTCCATGCAGTGACACTTCTTACTGATCCACTAAATTATTTTATGCCTTGATTCAAATTTTAAGATAAAAATCTAAAGGTCCTGGAACTAACCAATGAAACTAAAAAGATATTTTGAGTTAAGTCTGCAAACCAGGTTCTGTATGCACCAACCCTCTGTGTCCTTCAGGGGTTTTGCCACAGGAAGTGTGGCTGGTCCAGTACTTAATGTGTTTGTCTGCATCATCTCTCTCTCTACACCTCTTAACTCCCAGTACACTAAGGCAGATCCAGCTCTCCTCGAGGTTTCTGTCCATTAAGGGCAGCCATCGCTCTCTATTGCCCTCTCTCCATCTCCGCCACCTCATGCCTACTGCGTCCAGCTCACTGCATCAATTCTTATTGATGTATCAAATCTCTTTTATCGCTACTAAATACTCACTTTAAGAGGATAAATATCTCTGCACATATTTTACATTTCATATTTGCATTTAATTATTATTATTTTTGGAAATCAAATTTTTCTTAGAAATTAAAGGGTTGAGGTGATGTTTGTTTGCCAATAAAAATCTAAATCATGATTAATTTGTAAAAGCAATAAAAAGGGTAAAACATTTAAGGAGGTGAATACTTTTGGTAACACTTCATTTGAAGGGGGTTGAATAAAACTGTCATGACACTTTCATAAACATGACATAACACCTGTCATGAACATGAATAAGCCTTCATGAATATTTATGACTGTTGTCATAAAGCGTCATTCGGTAAATTATGACACTTTTAATACAAAGTTGACATTATTCAAAATGTCTTTGTTATGACAACTTGACATTAACCAAGAAATCATTACTGTTTAAACTTTACCTTTGATAACATCAAGCTACCTAATTTTTAAAGTGCAATCAGTAATACTTTTATAACAAATTTATATCAGTATTTATAATTGCTTGGACAGTGGAGGGTTCCTCACCAAAAGAAAATTCAACATGGCTGCCCCATTAAAGGTAGCGATAACAACAGTTAGAATATTGTATTTTATATTGTATATTGTATTTGTTGTATTTTAAAAGCTCATTAAATCAGTCACTCTTCAGCCTCGGTTGGCTGAAATGGTATGAGCCCAGGAATAAACAGCTATTAGCTTGTTGTGATAAATAAATCCCAAAACTTTCCAGACTTTCAGCTGAACCAAAGATCCGGTCGTCAAGGTATATCGAGACCCGAGTTCCGTTTTCCAAGGTAAACGGAATGCAGCATAACACAGGGGGCGTTAACGACCAGCCTGGTGAAAATAAAACCCAGAAATTTGCATGCTTAATTAAATATGGACCACAATCACTCCGGCACACCCCGAACCAAACAATCCTATCTGTCTAATATACAGCATACTGTATATTAGACGTATTCCAGACCAGATATTGAAGTGTTTACATGTGTGATGGGGTGAACTGTTGGACTGTCCTTGCGGCGCCCTGGTAGGGTAATATGAGCTCTAAGCGCTGTAGGACAATATGACTATTCACAATGAATAAAAAAAGAAAGTGACGCAATAACAAATATAAAAAACACCAAACATGGTGCTGTTTATAAAGCTGCTAGCGACGGCTAGCTAGCATCATCTGAAGCAGCAACTCCAGTAAACAGAGCAGAATAATGACAGCAGGAGGAGAAAGAGCATGATACCTACTGGGACCTCAGCCTGGCGAAGGATGGACCCAGATGTTGATCCTTGTAATCCTGCTTCGACTTTATTTCAAAGTGAGGACAGGTGCCATCGCCCAGCATTTACAGGAGCTATCTGAACGAGACCGTCAAACTACGCCTCCTACAGGCCACACGCGAAAACATCCGCGTCTCTGATCTGTTTTATTTTTGTAGATTCCATCTTTCAAATTGTCAAACAGCTTATCTAAGAAATGGGTCTGCTCTTTCTTATATATTTTTATTTATTTATTTATTTAATTTATTTATATATTTCCATCATTGTCATAGAATTTAGAAAATGAATGACGTCGTTCGGAATGGCTAATCGGAAAACCAGGAAACTGGATTCATCCTTCCATTTAAACTCTTTTCCCCCAGTTCCACACTGAACCTGTCTATCGCACCTTCATCGTTCTTCAACTAATATAAATTAAGAACAAAATGAATAGATAAATGAATATAAAAACTTTCTTGTGAAAGTTATTGATACTGTGTTTTAATCTTAATTCGACTTAGCAACTTTTTTCTCTATGTTACTTAAATAATAATAATAATAAAAAAAAGATTATTGTATTTACTTATTTTCAAGTGTAAACGTCTCAGGGTTCTGTTAAGCTCAGAGCAATTTCTGAATTTCCACTTGCCAATATGGATTTGTTTTTGCCTTGATTTACGTAATAATAATAATAATAATAATAATAATAATAATAATAATAATCATATTAATGATAATATTAATTAATCGTTAATATTAATATTAATAACAATTGTTATTGTTATTGACAATAACAATAATAATAATCGTCGTTATTACGATTTTTATTTTTTATTATAATAATCGTCACAATCATAATGATATGACATATCATTATAGCATGAATAATTATTTTTTTATGCCATAATTAAGACAGAACCTTGTGAATCCGGTCCGTTGGTTGTTCCGGTCCGGGTTACATTCGCTACAGCTGCCGCGGAGGGTTAAGCTAGGCTAGTTCAAAACTCCTCCCGCTAATACTTGCCTTCCAGCGATTTCACCGCTGCTCTAAATGTCGCCATTCATTCCCGCGGAGAGTTTTATCTACCAGCGCACGCTGGTTTTATAAATAACTTTTTATTTAGTGATATATTCTGGAGATACGGTAAACAGCATCAAGGCCCCTAGTCAAAGCTAACTGTTAACCCCAAAGCTAAAATGGCGGACAACGAGGGTGACAGCGGAGCTATTGGAACAACAACAGTGGCGGAGCCACCGGGGACAGACTCTGAGCCCGCCGTTCAGCCAGACACGCAGCCCGTGGAGCCTTTATCAGTCCAGCCTGCCGTCCAGATCTTACAGCCCGAGGAGAAAGGCTCGACTTTCCTCGTCACCCAGTGCGATCAGCCTGCAGAGAGTGCAGAGCCCGGGTCCTGTGCGGATGGCGGTCAGCCCCCGAGTGAAGCAGAAACCTGCCAGGTGGAGCAGCGCATGCTGGTGGGCGCAGAGTTTACCGATCTGGCCAACACCACCATCATCTACGTGCAGCCTGACGGCAGCCTGGTGGAGGGCTCCGGGCTGACGGTGGAGGAGCAGCAAGCGGTGCTGCAGCAGCTCACCAAGCAGCAGATCGTGCAGGTCTCCGAAACCGAGGCCGTCCAGCTGCTCCAGCACAGCCAGCTGGTCAAACCGGCCCCGGTCCAAAAGACGGCTCTGGATCCGAGTCAGCTGCAGCAGGTCATTAACCAGGTCACCAAGTCCCAGAACCAGGTCCAGGTGCCTCAGGAGAACCTGCAGCATGTGAAGGGTCAGCAGAAGCAGGTCCAGCTTTCCCCACAGAACCTAAAGATCAGCCCTCAGAATAATGCTTCCACCCATCTGAAAAGTGTGGCTCAACAGGTCGCTTTGCAGTCCAACACTTTAATCCAGGTGAGTTAGATATGAAGGATTCGTTCATCTTGATTAGGATTCTGCAGCATACAACCCGACCAGTAATCTGAACCAGGATTCTGGTCCTGGTTCAGACCAGAACCAGGACCAGTCAAGTTCTTCAAAACCAATTACCTATGAGTGATGTGACAACAATGGAAGTGGAGAGATAATGATTTTACCAGGCAATATTTTCTCAGTGAAGGCTGACCTGCCTGTCAAAGGGAACAAAGAAGGAAACAGAGAAATAAAGGAACCTTGAATGAGTGAAATGATCTAAAATTGCAGAAACATAAAACAAAAATTGGAAATCTTTCAATTTTTGAAAGACTCTATGAGTCAAGAGTGCATCTCGACTCATAGAAGTGAGTCGAGATGCACTGATCTGGATTTCATGGTTGGTACAGATTTCTGTTCGGTCTAAGCTCATTCTGATTTTTTACAACTTAGAATTTTTTAAGGACAATGACACAAAAGAAAAAAAAAAAAAAAAAAAAAAAAAAAAAAAAAAAAAAAATATATATATATATATATATATATATATATATATATATATATAT